TACACACATACATGCATACATACATACATACATACATACATACATACATACATACATACATACATAGCCTTTACAATATGTTTTTTGCACTATACAGATGCAAAAAATGATGCTTTTCCAGTACGTTAGGACTGAAAATAAAATTCAATGAGCAAACATATCGTTCGTCATGCTGACACGCAGTGCGCCGTTTATCTATAAATAGTACCTACAAGAAAGCAAATAACCCCTCAAACGAAATCCGAGATGTGGCGCACACATACAGAGCAAGCAGTGGGTATTATCTTAGCATGCGACTCAAAATCAAAAGAAGAACAGGAGTATCCCAGTAATATTACCTACATAGAATCACTATATCAATTGAATTCTTAATACATATCAAATGCAAGGGTGTTTGGAGATTTGACGGTATCACCGTGTAATATGCAGCATTCAGCAAATGAAATTTGCTTGAAAAAACAGCCAGCGAAAAAGTGGTAAGGCTAACGGAAAATTACAAAATCAGATGTACAGCAACCAATCACAAAATACTAGATCAATGCGTTAAACTGACCGGCAGAACAGTGGAAAACAAAGAGTGGCTGATCAGAGATTATTCATGTGATAGAGAAAACCCGAATTCAGATAGGCATTCTGGATGCTAGTCATTTGCTGGCAGCAGAAGAAAAAGTAGACGGGTTTGTAACATGAAAAGAAATTATTAGAAAATTATTAGAAAGTGATTAGGCCAAAAACCAGTGATTACATTTAAAAGTAGCAACAATGACGGGCAAAAAACACAACGACAAAGATAACAAGAATCATAATTTTAGCATTCCAGGGCAGGAGCAGCGTAACACGCATCCAGATAATGGGAAGCTACATCGCCAATAAGCTGTTTGTCAGGGATCGTTGCCGCCAAACCATATACGGCAGCCTGTAATAAGGTAACGGATTTTTAGCTTTTCTCGTAGAACTGCAAATATACTGATAATGAAAAACGCCCTGGCTAAAATAATCACTAAATCACCTACACAATTTTTAACCAACAGTGCATCCCACTTATTAATATTTCTGCTTCTCGCAGATTTTTAGTACCCGAAAGAACATTTATAGTTCACCACAACATAGTTATGCAATCTCCCTGAGATCCAGAAATAAAATTTTAGGATTAGGCAAAGCATTCGCAAATATGCACAGCCACAGTCCTAAACAAATTAAAAGACAGTCCCGCTGAGTTAAATCCGAATAACACCAAATTATCACTTTCTACATAATCTGAATTCTAAAAATACTAAATCATTTTTAACTAAGCGCCTCAAAAGATACCGTGCTTGAATGATTTCCTTTGTCTGGATTTTTCAACAAATTTGCAGCGACCATCCGCAAATCATTAGTGAACGATGTCCATGCTTTAGCCACTACTGTATTGTAAGTTACGCAGATATGAGCCCTAAAAGGATTCAAACATTTATATCAGTCAAAATTCATTGGAAATATTTAGTTGAGCAAAAACAATTTAAGCTTTTACACTCACGGATTTCATTTTATTTCGTTTTGATTTCCAGAGAATGTTTTAATAAAGACTTAAGATGCAAGCAAAACTTTCCCAGCTGGGTTCTGAAGAGAATTCAAATTCCATCCGAGGGCAGTCATGTCGTCAATCAGCGCATATATATTAAAAGAATCGCTTGTAAAAGCGACAACAGAGACATCCGGCGATCCAAGCAAACGAAGTCCGTCAATATCTGACTGTAATTATACGGTTAATATCTTGAAAGCACATTTGCTACATTTTCAAGCGCCAATAATTCTGCCAAAGAGCCTGGCAGAAGGGCTTTCTTTAATCTGCTTCGGCCGGAAACAGACTAGGCGTAAGCGTAGCACCCACAATCAAGCAGTTCCTTGATGTCTGGCATCTGTCCGTGGATTCTCCAAAATCTACTACGCTTTGTCTAGCTGTCCATAACTGAAAAGTTTTGTTTGCTTCACCGGAGGCTTAATGAACGCGTCACGAAATATTAAAATTTCACGGTTCTAAACTCATCAGAAATACTGAATTCTAAAACAAAGGCTGTAAAAAAATTAAATTTCTTGAAAAACATTGTGTTTTGATGCCACTTGTAAATGAATGCACTAAGCACAGGATGTGTAACACTTCGACTAAATCGCTCGCTACAGGAGGGCGTGCCGAAGTGTCTACAGGAGAAATTTTATCTCCTGAGAATCATTTCAGGGCGCTGATATTTAATATAAGGAAAGCCGCTGCTAAGTGCACTAAACCGGAAGTATATACTGAGGAGGCGCCTCAAATGCCAACTGACACTATCTATCGCTTTTTTCCCCCGACTTTTCATACACACTCGGTCTCACAGAATAAAACTAATCATCGTTTCTAGCATCTGACTTCACCGCTGCACTGCAACTCTTAGAGAAGTGAGCTGAGAATATTAGGAACCTAACAGCAGCGCACACCAGCGGGATGATGCAAGCAACCGTTTTTGCGGCCAGCTAATCCGACTGCCTTTCGCATCTGAACAGAGAATATCCTCCTAAAGTTTGGGATTCTTAGATTTTCTGGTTCTCGAGTTAATAGTTCACGTGTCCGCACATGAAACCCACAAGTTCTAAAGAGCTAAGAGCTAAACTAAAGAGCTAAATTTAAAATCTTTGGATAGTACGTGGACATGGAATATCCTCTCCAAATTACAGTTTTTTAGCTTTTCTAGCTCTCGAGCTAGCAGTTTTCATACCAAAATTCCCACGTACCCATATGTCAGATGCAGAAGTGCGTGAAAGTTGGTGTCACGTTCCTGGTGTCGCACATGGTCAAGAAACCCACTGGCAAGATTCCAAAATCTAAGCTTATTTGGTTGCTGAGTGTAAATACCCGGGCACATGAACGCAGACATATACAAACATGCATACACAGAGGATCGTTGCAATCTGCATTTTTCTGACTGCAGTAAAGTTATAGCGCCGTACCACAAAAACGTATAAAAACCAGATTTCCTATAACTTACGTCCGGAAACACTCATCAAGATCAGTGAATTCGTTCAGGCTCTCAGCAAATTTTTCAAGAACACCTCAGGCCCTGAAGTTGCTGCTGCGCACAATTAGAGGGTCATAAGCTATCGTACAAAATCGCAACAATGACAGATTTATAAAGAAATTAATGTTCCTTGCAGAACAACTAAGTAAAGCGTTCCAATCATATGAATCACCTCAACAGCAGAACTGATATGCCGCGCACATTCAATGATTTCTTTAGTTCTCTGGATATAACCAGAACGTCCATAATGTAGCAACGTAGCCCATGCCAGAGAGATCGCTAAACCACACCGACTTCCTACAATCAAAATAGAAACTAATAAGCTAAGTATTCATAAAAGAGTCACAGATTAAGTCCAACTCGGAATGCTGCTTTGGTGTCTAAGCGTGATTCCGTAATAATCGAATACACACTTTTCAGCAGCTAGAAGCTTATCATTCAAGCATTTTTTCGATGACAATTGTCAAAGTCAATTATTCAAACAGTTCACAACAGGTTCTATAAAGCTGAAGTTCAGAAAGCTAAAAACCTGCAAAAGTTGGAGTTGCATAGATGCCTCCGGTCCAGTCTGAAAAACACATGTACTGATGATGCAAATATTCCGGTTTACGATAAAGTATCACAGATGAACCTTTGGGACTATATCCGTACTGCAAAAAGTTATGAATTAAAGTTATCATCAAATAACCAGCAAATAAGGAATGCGTTGAAATCACAGTTTTATCTTTCCATCTCATCCAGCGCTTTACTAAGGCCAAAGCCAAAAACAGAATTTCTTCAGAAATGCATAAAACGTTAGTCTACTGAAAGCTCACCTTATGCACATCGCAAGAAATCGATGTAACACCATCCAGGCGAAAATCAAAAAGAGGTATCTTATATCCAGCTTCCTCCATGAATGGTATCAGAAAGCCGCCCAAGCACGCATCAACATGTACAGGGATGTCAAATTCTTTTCCCAGCTAAAAACCAAAATAATTTATTAGTCACCAAATTTTAGTGTATGAAACATGAACAATTACTTTTTGTACTGTTTGTAAAGCGCATTTAATGAATATAAATGAGCCGGAATTTAAACAGAAGCGAATGAAAAGAGGAAAAAGACAATGAAAGAAAAGTAGCTGCGAAAAGAAGGTAAGCGCCCTCCAATGCTACAGATTTTTTTGCAAAAAGTCCGCGGTGGTTTAACATTTTTATCAAATTGTGATGTACAATTTCTAAGTAAAGAGTTCTGTAATTAAAGTCTTAAATAATAATTAAATAAAGTTGTCAAAATGTTTTTTTATTAGTAAAAGTTTTAAATCCTTCAGCGAAATCCTTCAAACTGTTTTCTAAAAGATCTTGACTACGTTGCATAATTAAAGAGTTAAAGTAACTAGAAAAGGTTTATAATATAACGTACTTGTGCGATTGCTTCAATGTCGTCTATAGAGCCGGTTGGGAAGTTAGGCGCAGAGCCGACAAGCTGAAATAATCTACTGCCATAGTGCCAAATAGCAATTTACTTCCAGAGACTGAAAGACGACCATGTGAAAATTTGGAGCTCTTTAATGGGTATTTGTCTAAGAAACTTACAACGCATGTGCTTCTGGATATTGCTTCTCTCATCCGTTTGATATCAACTCTCTGATTAGACTTCACTGGTACATGACGAATTCGCATACCAAATAAGTGCGCGGCCTAAAAATGTAAATTGAGGGAACTGACCGTTCATACGCGACAGTAAAAAAAGGGATATTCTGTGAAGAACAGGATTCGTACAGAAAGATCTACAACAATTAACAAACCTAGTAGAAAGCGTACCGGCTGCCGGTACGAGGATGCGTTTTTTGCGCAGTTCCCCCCG